GCTCAAGTAGGGTAAAAAGCTGACCCACGCGAATCAGCTGATTTTACTGTCCAACAAATTACTCCTTAACATATGCTACTGCAGGACATAATCTCTGATTGTTATAGATGGCGACACATGCGAGCTACCAGTTTCTAACGGAGAAGGCAACGCGACTTTGCTTAGGTGGTATTACGACAAGATTAACCAAAAGTGTCATAAATTTTTTTACGCGGGTGAGAAAGGAAACTCGAACAGTTTTGTCACAGAGACCGAGTGCAATGAGGAATGTTCCGGTAGGTGTCTGTTGTTACAAATGACCTAATATGTTTAATCGAATTTTACTTAGAACTTGTAAATCCGTGTGGCTTTGGAGAGCCATACGTAGAAGGAATTAGTGGCTCTCGTCGTCACTGCGAATGGCCACAGGTGCATGTCTGCCCAAAGGGCTACTGGTGTCATGTCGGTGACAGCCATCGAAGCAGCGTCTGCTGTCCAGCATGTATAAAGTAAAAGCCTTGGCTGTCATTTAAAGCAATGCGTTGTTTAGTAGTCGGCGATCCCTGTGCTCAAAAACTGAACCATGGAGCGGGACATGCTAACTTGAGTCGTTGGCACTTCGACGCGTTTGGCCAACGATGCAAGTTATTCAGTTACGGCGGCTTCGCTGGCAACCAGAATAACTTTCTCTCTGAAGACGAATGTGTGCAGAAATGTAATGGTAAGCTTAGACGGCCGAGGACGCAATGCTACTTTATCTATTTTCGAATCAGTCCCAAATTCTATCGTCATTTTGGGAACAGATGATTGTTGAAACTGTTTCACATCCATGCCTCTGTAGGGAATAAATGTGGCTTTTGGTATCAATCATTAGTCCAAATAAAAATCTCCGAGTGTTCTACGGTAAACAGTAAAAGCGTTCACTACAGAGTAACGAAGCCCTTTTTCAGAGATTTATGATTTCCGTAGTATCATGGGAGAATGCATTCAAGGGATTTGTAGCATTCGTCTACAACGACGCATTTTAAAAGTCAACAAATTTGCACTGTTTAGCGCTTGATGATTTAACGTTTGCATTTTTAGCTTGTGAAGGATGATACACGGTTTGATGGAATTCGCTATCGTCACGCTTTGTTATTCTGTCTTCACTCAGCGCTACAGTACAAATGTTTGCTAATCGAGGACTTAAATTTGCATAGAACGAGGCATTAGTTCGTGAATGACAATTACTAGTCCTCACTTTTCGATATATGGTTCAGGACAGCAATTGACAAGGACGATGTAAAATCCTGTATTT